CACTGTTTTTTGATTAAGGACTTCATTTGAACCAAGAGCTTAAAAGATGAAGAGCTTGGGTCCAAAGAGACCTTTGCTGATCAACTGATCCCACCTGCTGGTCATGTCCTTGGCTAAGACTTCCCAGCTATTAAGACCCACACTGGCAGACACAACCACTGAATGATACTGACCTTTTAAACACAGTTATCCAGTATGAAGTCAGTTACTTAGAGGTTTCTCACACAATAATTGCATTTTCATATTACTGTTACTGAAAAAGATACAGCAATAAAGCATAACCAACAAAAATGGCTTCAAATTATGCTATTAAGTCTGTAACCTCTTCCTGCAAGTCAAGAAGAGACAGGTTAAGACTCAGAGGAATTTTATCTACGAGATTTTCCGTCCCATCTGTCACACAAAGGGACCCAGAACTAGCTCCCTGCTCTGCACAACAGTAGGAAAAGTCACAAAAATCCAACAGAGTTTTTGCTTTTGTAGGGAGATTCAACACAGGCTTGTTCCAAGTCCCTTGCCTCTTGTCACAGGAAATACAGGCACAGGAGGCAGTAGGAAACAGAGAGCAGTTCCAAGGCAATCACCTTGCCATGGTTTGTCTGAAAGCACTGGACAAGGAAGGAGCCCTTGGGAACCACCCAAACCTTCTGCCAGGAAGTTTTCTCCCGGTGCCACATGGGTGCCTCGGTGCTGCACTGTTTGTGGGAGGATTGCTGCTTCTCCTCCTCAAAATACAACCTTGGACACAGGAACATCAGCTTCCAATATTCATCTCCTGGGGCTTGGACTAGACGTGGCCCCAGACTTACTAATCGTACCTCAATGAAAGGGATACTACAGCAGGGCTCCAACTTACTTGCAAATAAGGCATAGAGAGGCTGTCCCGACAACCTCTGAACAACTGCAACAACTCAGGCAGATTTTGAGCTGGACTTCAGAGGGGAGTGTGACTTCCATGGAACTGTGTGAGTCCCATCCAGCTCAGGATAGTCTATGATTGAAATCACCAGGAAATACTGGAGCACACAGTAGCCAACACCAACTTCATAAGGGCAAACTCTTTTTAAAGACAAGAAAACAGCTAAAAAGCAAACCAGACAAGATTACTAAGAGAAACTGTAAGAAAACGGGGAAAGGATTAGCCTGTGTAAGAGCTGGAACGTGGGAAAGCTACTAATACCCCAACACTGCAATATAATGCTGATTTTGATCTTCAGACCAAGAGACTACAATGTTTGTAAATATTAAAAGACGGCCTGTAAGGAAAAAAAAAAATTGCATTGCAGAGGCCTCCCTGGCCTCTGAAGGTGCACTGTAGACACGACTCTGGTACTCAATGTTTGCTCTCCCTTCCACCAGTGTTTCACGGAGCACCTGTGTGCTCAAGCAGGGCAGTCCTGTGCTCTGTGTAAATCTTGTGGTCACCACCTGAACTATGCTCTGCTGTCCTCACTGTGGTTCAGCTAGACAATCCAAGGTGTAACACCTAATCCTTTCATATTATCTCACCTACACCATTGGCAGCCACGTGCAAAGCAGGATCTTGGACATTATTAAATTATCCCCATGATTCCAGTAGGAAATCAAACAAAAAAAACCCCTTCTGCAGTCAGGAAATACTCCCAATATCACCGTAACAAACAAAGTTTTTCTCACAGTGATTTTGAGTTTCAGTTCAAGGCGTGTAGAAGATACCTACCTTAAAAGCTGAAGGACGTAAAAGCACTAAGTAAGGAAATAAAGGAAGTGACACGTGTGGGCCCGCACTAGACCCCAGCCTGTCCCCCTAAAGCCAAGCACAAATGAGCTTTCAAAGAACCTGAAGGTCAGAGCACATGGCTGCTGCTCTTTGAAAGTCTCAAATCAACACAGGGAACATAAATTCACCCCTTCACTGTCATAGGCTTCCTAAGTGAATTTCTGAGCTATGAGCCCAAGATCAGCGCACAAACACAGACCACACCCTCAACTGTCAGCACTGAATTTACCTCCTATTTTCCCGCCCAGCAAAGCGCTCGTCTTGATTAACTCAAGCACCAAAAACACAACTACAGCTCTACACCATACTAAGGTGTCTTGTAACGTAATTACTCCTTCCCTGGCACGTGCAAGCCAAAACCTGCAAGCTTCAATCAACACAAAAAGCCTTGTGTCAGTCAAGTCACACGTCCACAAACATATATGGTCAGGATAACAGGAGCAAAAGATCCAAGTGATCAGCAGCTAACTGCAGCTAAACCCCACAGTGCTGGCATTTTATTCACCTGAACCCCCACACAGAGCTTTCAACACCAGATTCAAGAGACAGAGCCAAGACAACGCTGGTCTTCAGCTGAAAGTAGCAAAGCCAGCTCCACTTCTGCACCACCAGCACCTTCTTCGAAGGTGGCCTGAGCACAGGGCAGCCAGGACGCTGTGTGAAATCCTCCGGGCTGACAGCCATGTCTGCCTGCAGCTGCATTACATTTGCTGAAGCCTTGTTTTTGTTTTAGCATTCAGAAGTGATTTTGGCCCCAGAAGCAGCCCTTGCAGTAAGGACCTAACACCTTCTGAACCTCGGTCTCTTTGGCAACTGAACATAACTAGCACACTACAGAAAACGCCTTTTTTTCTGGTTTTAAATTATAAGCAGCTTAGAGGGAAAACATTCTTGACGATTTTATGAAGAGGCAAGGTCTGATGATCACTTCAAATTTAACTAAATACTAAGCAGCACCAATTATTTTCAGAACAACAGAGATGACAGATCTGCTGCCCAAGCAAGAGCAGTTCTCTCCATCTCCACACTGCTGCCTTTGAATGAGCACCAGAAACTGCTCCATGGGAGAAAAAAAAAAGCCCTGAAATGGGAAAATAACACACTCACTGTAAACAGACTGTTCCAAGTTACAACAGAAACAAGTTTGGAAGGAACTATAAATTGTACTTCTGAATATGGCTTCTGGTGATGTGGTGAGAAATCACAAATAGATTGCACTGCTACCAGAGGACCTCAGAAACCCATCAACGCACTCAGCCGTAATTCACACACATCTGAAGGCAGACAAGCCATGCCTGATTCCTAAGGATGCTTTTTACCTGGATCCAGCTGGTGTTGAGAACAGGAAGTGAATGTGTGACAAAATTATCAGAAGAAAAGCCACCACATCCCACTGAGAAGCAAGATGTAATTGCTCATTTCACACAAGTCCAAATTCTGTTATACTAACAAAATAATTTTCCAGCTGCCCTTCCAAACTGGACTATTGATAAGCACCATGTACCTAATTAATTTACATACTATGAAGCTACATATGGCAACTGTGGTTAAAATAAAGAACAAAAAAGAAAAAAAGAAAAAGCCTTCAGTATGCAAAAAGGCAGTAAAGTACTGAAATATTTATTTGATAGCACAAAGACCAGTTCCCCACACAAACCCAGCCACACATACAGATATTGGTGAAAATGTCTTGCTCATACACCTGTGCCAGTTTATTCAGCACAAAGTGAACAGCTGAGTTAATATTCTGGATGTAATTATGGTAAGCAGTTCCAAAGTCCACACAGAAGTTAACAGCAAGTATTCCTATTAATCAAAAATTTTAGGGTAACCTAAGTGTGGCTGCTACAGGAAAAAGCCTACAGGACAAGCACTGGTGGAAGCACTATTTTGTCAGAATTCTGACAGCAGCTAATAAGGCTGCAGCTTCTTGTTACAATAAAGAATGTATGCAAATATTCTGACACGTCATCTGGCAATGATTTTGCTTGCAAAACCTGAAAAACCACAGGAACAAGAAAAAGGTATTTCATAAAATGGTTTGGAAGCTCATCTCACTCCAGCCCCTGCCGTGGGCAGGGACGTCTTCCACCATCCCAGGTTGCTCCAGGCCCCGTCCAACCTGGCCTTGGAGACTTTCAGGGATGGGGCAACCACAGCTTCTCTGGGCAACCTGGGCCACGGAACATTTCCTTGAACTATTACAGCAAATATAATCTGTAATAGAGACCTGTTTCACTCTATGACTTCTTGGCAGGCCTCTCCATTTGGCCGAAAGGTTACTTCCAGTCTACCCTCACAGGAAGAGATAATGTCATTTATTTCATAATAAATTACTGCTGCAGAGGGAGACCTACTCCTGTAGAGGAAGCAAGAACAGGCTACATTTAGACAACTGGAAATGCAGTAGGAAAAATTACATACTGCAACAAATGTGCCTCTCTCCTCTGCACGAGACCCCACCTCCAGTCCTGCCTCCAGCTCTGGAGTCCCCAGCACAGGAAGGACATGGAGCTGCTGGAGAGACTCCAGAGGAGGCCACCAAGGTGATCAGAGGGATGAAGCCCCTTTGCTATGAAGAAAGGCTGAGAGAATTGGGATTGTTCAGCTTGGAATAAAAAAGGCTTCAGGGTGACCCAATTGTGGCCTTCCAGCACCTGAAGGGAACTTGCAGGAAAAAGGAGGAGACACTACTTACAAGAGTGTGTAGTGACAGGACAAGGGGGAATGGGCTGAAATTGACTGAGGGTAGATTTAGGGATCAGGAAGAAATCCTTCCCTGTGAGGGTGCTGAGGCCCTGGCACAGATTGCCCAGAGAAGCTGTGCCTGCCCCATCCCTGGAAGTGTCCAAGGCCTGGCTGGATGGAGCTTGGGGCAGCCTGGGATAGTGGAAGGTGTCCCTGCCCACAGCACAGCGCTGGAATAAGATGATCTTCAGAGACCCTTCCAACACAAGCCATTCTGTGATTCCATGATACTATGAAACAGGAACACTGGCAACAAAGATTAAAAGAGAGCGAGTTATGGCAGGCAGTGGCTGAAATCCCCGGTAGTGTGACCGCAATGTCACCCGCAGGGGGGCACGTCCCGCACCCCTCCCGGCGCGGGGGGCAGCGCCGGTGCCCGGCCCCGTTCCCCCGGGCCCCACCGAGCGCCGCAGCCCCAACGGCCGAGGCCGGGGGGCCGGTCCCGCCACCCCCTGCGATCCCGCGGCCCCTTTTGTTCGTGCCCCGGCCGTACCTCCAGGATGTCCTCCAGCACGTACGCCTCCATCGCGGCCGCCCGCGCCCCGCCTCAGCGCGCCGCCGCCATGCCCCGCCGCCCCCACCCTCACGGCCGGGCCCCCCCCGCCGGCGGCACGGGAACAGGAAATGGACCGTTCCACCCCGAGCGCGCCCGGCGCCTACCACCGCGAGCGGGGGGGGGGGCTGCGCGCCGCTGCCCAACGCCCGCCGGCGATGGAAACACCGAGGAATTAAAGGAAAAAAAGCCCGAGCAGAACCAGCTCATTTTTCCGTGTCCCGTGGATCACTTCACCTCCTTCCCCGCCGTGAACTCGCAGAAGCCCCAGCCCCAGATGAGGCAGGTCCGTGCCATGCCACATTTGTTTCTGTGCTATGACCTGTCTTCCCATGACACCAAAACCTCCCGAAGCTCTTCCAAACGCTGCCCATCAGCTGCCCTCATCCCTCCCTCCCTCCTCCACCCAGCTCCCGGGGGGCTGGAATTCCAGAAACAGGCTATGTATGACACCGGTAGGAAAAGGTCCTGAACGCATGGAGCAAGGTCTCCACAATGCAGCTTTAAAAAACATCATCTCCCCACCAAGATGAGTACCTACTTCTTACCTACACACTTCTCTGCTTAACCCAAAACATCAAATGGACCAAAAGATGGTATCTTACATATTCCATAACCCTAGGTGACAGTGATACCAATTCTGTACGCAGCAGGTCAAAATCACTGAGCAATCATAGTTGCGGCTCTCAAAACAACTCATTTTCCAGTTCAAAACATCCAGCATAATAAATCTTGTCAAGCCCCCAAAAATCTCCTCTCTCATGATGTCATTTCAGCAGAGCACAGAGGAGTCCAACGGCCAAAGGAATTAAATTCACCTTTATACTTGAAGAAATACTCATGGTAATAATTTAGTTTAACTGTCTTTTCCAAAAAATACTAATTGTTTAAAATGCTCACTTAACACCAAGAATATTCTTACCTGGATTTAAAAAGACAGCCAGATTGGCTAGTAATATCACAAAGAGAAATTCCAGCTGATCATTAAAAATTTTTGTCATAGCTGCATTCTTCCATTCAAAAATGACATTTAACCACCAAAAATGGGAATTACATCCTACTCACCTAAGACAAAGCCCCTTATTTCAAACAAACTCAACACCTGCCTGGGCTGTCCATTTTTCCACTATTTTTCCACTTTAGGGAACACCCCAGATTTGAGAGTTTTACAAGAATTAATTCAAGGAAGAACCACAGAATAATATTCCACTGTTCCTCTGGAGTCATGCTTTTAGGGTGGCATTTCTAACATCCCCAGCCGCCCCTTGCAACTATTCCCATGTACATGAAATCCAGCAATAATGCACAAACATTAGCCCAAGTATAAAGCTGTCCCTGACAGCTTGAAGGATTTCTTTGTGTGTGTATATACATATATAAAAGGAAAAAACCAGCCACCACCTCCCACATAACACTCATGTTTCAAAAGACAAGCTATTCAGTCTTCTGAGCCTCAGTAAGCATTAACAGATACCTTATATCACACCAAATAAAAAAAAAAAAAAAGAAAAGATGAAAAAAAAAAAAAGAAAGAAGCTTAAAGCACACAACTTAGCACTGAGCTAGAGATACTTCACACATGACACCACTGAAAACATTTTCAAATTCAAAGGCAGCATTACACAGGAACAAAAGCAGCTCTCTGCTCCACACAGGGCAAATTGAACTGCATTGTCTCCTCCAGATCCACAAATGAAGCACCAGATTTTCAGGAGAAGGAGGAACACAATCACCTTCAGAGCTGGACAATTTCCCTTTCTGCTTGGGAAACTGCAGAGCCCCGTCTGCAACAGCATCACTTCAGTTACAACCCTAACCTAAAGAACAATTCAGAGCTCCCCTTACACCAGGAGAGAGAGAGAGAGAGAGAGAGAGAGAGAGAGAGAGAGAGAGAGAGGACTCTACGTGTGAGCCCTGAGGGCAGTGAAAAAACCTTCTTGGCACTGAAAGCAAGTCACCCTCAACATTTGTTCGAAGACAGCAAACAAAACATCCCAAATTTCACACTCAAAACCTCAATATCCAATCCTTCTTCCTTCTCCCCTGGCCCACCTTAATTGGCAGCTTTACGATGCTGCCTTTGTTTGAAAAATGAGATCTCAGACTTTCTTTTGGACTTGAAAAATATTTACAGTATGGAATACCAAACTCTAAAAAGCCCATCCCTAACTCTTGCTGTTTTACTGAAGATCTCATAGTGGTGTAAAGTAAAGGCTTTAACAAATGCTTCCATTCTGTTCCAGAAAAATAAAGGGAAAAACAACAACAACAAAACACTTTGAGGTAAAAACAAAAAAAAAATATAGACCCTTGTGATTAATTTCTTTTCTGTGTGATTTTGGGTTTTACACACTGGTCAGGAAAAAATCTTTAATTCTGCACAGGTAAACACAAACCCATTTCATCCTCCCTTTCAAGTCCAGCTCTAGGAATTACTTGAAGTGCTTGATTAGGAAAGGTAGAACACATTATCTCTTTGAATCATCTCAGTTCCTACCTGAAAGCTAACGATCTTTATTTAGCCTTATGCTGAAGGGCATGATCCACTCAGCACCCTCATTTATCACCATCCACTACTAAAAATCAGCCTATTCTCCTGATCAAAAGGTACCCTAAAGCCACAAAGCTGTCTGAGCTGTGTCCATCCATTGTCCCTTCCACTCTGTGAGCCTAAAACACCCAAAACCCTTCTGCTCCCCAGCAGAAGGTGGGAGAGAAAACATCTGAAGTGCAGCTTGAGGAGACAGAGTTAAAAACGGGGAACAAAGTTGTGTTTCAAGCCCCATGAAGTGTGTTAAGCCAAGGGGAATCCCGAGAGTGTTCTGAGAAAAACAAAGCTAGGGATGGGTATACATCTAGGTTAGTTTGCTCCGCAGTGTGCTCCTCACACAGCACTGGGAACTACATGGAAATGACCAAGGGGAGAGTAAAAACCTCCTCAAGAACCTGGCTGTTAATGCAGAGCAGAGCTGTGCACACTCAAGAGCTCACAGGCAGTTTTTAGGAAGATCCTCCTTTCCAACTCCCGGTACTACGCAAGCCACCACCAATTCTGAACTGAAATCACATCACCCTGAAGCACAAGCATTTCAACCATTGATCCGAGACAGATTCTGGCACCCAGAAATGTGAGCATTGAACAATTGATCAGACAATTCCCACTCTTATATCACAAAAGCACATTGTTATCTAGTTACAGCTGATCGAGCAGTACTGGTCACCAACTGTCCCAAAGCATATAAACACACTTTTTTTTGTGCGTTTTCAGAGCACAGTGTCAAGGTTGGGCTGTTTAAACCCTGTCCCATGAAGCTACTAACACCTTATTCAGCAAAATCAGGAAGTGCATTAATTACTAAAAAAACCAAATAATTCCGAGAAGAAAAAAATGAGAGTTGAAGACAGGTCCTCAATACAGTACCAATTATCAGTTATACCCTTTAGCAGGCATTCCAAAGTATTTTCCTTTCCAGAAGTAGTACACAGTCAGACAGAATCCTAAAGTTCCTGAGACAATTAGGACCAAAAACCAGAGTGGATTTTCAGTACAAATTTTGTGACATTCTGATTATCTGCTAGAGTGCCAGGAGGCAAAACCCCCACCACTGTCATAAAGAATACCTTGGGAAGTGAGGTACCTATCACAATGAAAAATCCAAACAAGATACACTTACACACACAAGGTGGGCATTTCACATTAATTAGAAATAACACAGATTTCTCAAAGGCTGCTTCAAACTTGTGTTGGTTCTTCCATTTTTAGAGTGATGATAATCCCACCTTAGTTCATTTTGCTGGACTGAACCCAGTTCCTCATATCTGCTCTTTGAATAAAAACAATTTTTCAAACCCCTTTACAACTAAGCCAGAACTGAATGTTTCGCCAAACAGATACCCATAAGGGTACCCACTGCTCCAGATAAATGCACTAGGATTTATCAACCTTCCTTAGGAACTACAGCCTATATAACTTGCAGCTCTCCATCATATCAGTATAACCACCAAGACACTAAAAACATTCTTATCTGCTACTTCTTCCTGTTATACCCCAAAAGCGTCATCTCTGTTTTGGGGCAGTTGGCATCAATCACCACTTGGTACAATTTTTAATGTCACTTAGTTCTATGTCAATACAAAACAAAGTGAGTTTTAAACCTACTGTTTCAGGTTCTCCCTCCTCTTTCATTGAGGATCTTCTAGATCCTCAATGGTTACATAAAAACAAGTGAGTCCAAACCCAAACCTCAGGCACCACCTGAAACCATGACCCCATCTGTTTTTTCTACTTTCACATTGTATATTGGTTTCTTTCACTTCACTTCTTGAAGCAATCACAGCTCTGCAGTTGTCAGCCTGGCTAAATTTCCAGCATCCTTCAGGCAGGTGCTTCAGTGAATTCCAACTAAAAGAAACCTACCTTCTTCCTTCCATTTCCATTTTTTGGGTGAGGATGTGCAGGGATGATGGGCTTCAACCTGATAAATACTGAAGATATACTTTTATTCTGATTTTTTTAATTCCCTCAGCATTATAATTCAATGTCTCTCTCTGAACATTTCAGACTTTCCTGCCAAAAGCTACAGTGAAGCTTTCACGTGAGTTTTACAGTCACAAGATGATCCTTGATGCCCATTCTCATTATCACACTCCTCTTGATTAAGCTCCATTATCTCCCACAGACAAGGAAAACTTTGATAACCAAGCTCCATATTTTTCTTCTCTAACAACCATGTAACAACTTTTTTTGACCATCCAAGACGGTTTCCCACTCAAAAACTAAGTTTTCTACCAAGACACATCTTTCATTTCTCTCCAGCCTATTCTTCCCTTAGCAAGGCATTTCAGACCCTTCTGACACATTCAGTGTTTTCTCTTCAGTTAGTGTTACTCTTTTCGGTCAAGTGACAAAGCTGCAAAGGATGGAATCTTTTCCTTATGCTATCCATGAGATCTAGGTTTTCCACAGCTCCAGGAAACTAAAATCTGGAAGAGGTGACTTAACTACTTTTGAAAGCA